ATAGCTCATAGAAAGTAGGGCTTTCTACGTCGGTTCCTAATAGCCGACGTAGAAGTCTTACTTTCTACGTCGTTATTAGGAACCGACGTGAAAGCCTTACTTTCTATGACCCCGTATCTATGTCGCCGCTTTAACCGACGTAGAAATCCCATTTTAACCGACGTAAAAATCCTTTTGTGCAGTAGTGAAGGTTTCATGTTATTGAAGAAGATGATGACAATTAAAGATATATTTGTATAATAGTACTATCTTAATTATTTATTTTCTCTAATAAAATATATTTGTTAGTATTCTTTCTCAAATTTAAAATGTGAATTTTAAAGTGGGTTTTATTTTATTTCATAATATTCTTTTGTTTTTTTGGATATTTATCTCATAAAGTAGTTATCTACCTAAGTAGATATTTTTCTCATAAATAAAACAAAATTTCAATTTAAAACAAAACAAGAGTGAAACGACGAGTTGAAACTTTAGATTCATGAAATAAATGAAGTCGAACAAGTATTAAACAAAAACATAAGTACACATAACTAAAATAAAAAGATGAGAAAAATATTGATAATAGGCAAAAGAGTAATTCTAATAATGAAAGAAATTACAATCCTTCTCTCTCTATCTCCAAAGAAGAAACAATAACACCCTCTCCTGAAAATAAAAGAAAAAAAACTCTAAGAGAACAAAAAAGAAGAAACTATTTTCTCTCTTAATTTATCTCTCAAGTTCTAAAGTAGCAAGAGAAAAAAAAAGGAAGTGATTTTGGTGTGCTTTACAAGATAAACATTGTGTTTCATTTATAGTAAGAAAAGTAAGCACCAAACTAAGATTTCCCTGATGTGGGACTTTTCTTCTCACAATCTTCCACTTGAAAATTTTGATTAAATTAATCAAATCTTCACACCATGCTTGCTTTATTCTTGTCATCCATGTTGCTCTTTTTTTTTCGCTAGGCCATAGTAGGATTGACTTCATACAAATTTGTCAACACTAACCAGTTTTGTCATAACATCTACTAGGTTCTCATCCTTGTGAATCTTTTGCATATCCACACTACCCTTTTCCACTACTTCCCGAACAAAATGATATCTTATTCCTATGTACTTTGTCCTGAAATGAAAGGCTAGATTCCTTCTAATGTACAGGGCACTCTGACTGTCACAATACACAACAATTTATTGTTGCTTGTGCCTGAGTTCCTCCATTATCTTCCTAATCCAAATAGTTTCCTTACATGCCTGGGTAGCTGCCATGTATTCAGCTTCTATGGTAGATAGAGCTACAACATCCTGTAACTTGGATAACCAACTTACTGCCCCTCCTGCAACTGTAAACACATAACTAGTAGTAGATATTATTTTATCCAGATCACCTGCAAAATCTAAATCAACATAGTCT